GTGTATATATATATATATATATATATATATATATATATATATATATACACTTTTATATGTTTGCTCAGTACTATATCTCTAGCACCTATAACAATGCCTGGCATAATATCAATTAAAAAATATTTATTGAATGGAAAAATGAATGATTTTTATCTTTTTAGATAGTAAAAAAACCTCTGAAGATCCTAGAAATTAAACATTCTGTCCAAAATTAAACACCACTGGTGAACTACAAAGCCAAGTGTAAAGCTCATATATCCAGAATCATTAATTAATGTCAGAATCACTGTAGTCACAAGGTTCGGGTATGGGATAGCTTCTGAGAAGCTGAAGGATGACTTAAATGTGACCTGTGAGGAGGTTACAGTCTAGTGGAGAAACCATGCATTGAGATACAAGTAATTTAAAACAAAAGGGTTGGGGGTGGGGAGTGAGAAAGAATTCTATCAAGAAGGATTCTACAAAGCATTAGGAAATCCCAGAGGATGAATACCTGAGTTTTTACATTTTAGATGTCTGTGGTGTCTCTAGAAAGCTTGTCTTTGAATTGGGCTTGAGAAAATGATTAGACTTGTTAGGTGAAGAGAATGGACTTGGGGTTGGGGCCACATTGCTGTCAGAGAGACAAGCCTATGCAAAGATATTGGCAGATACTAGAGATCTGGTGCATGGATTTGTGCATGGGTGTGGTCCCTCAGCCTGGCCTTTAGGGATTGGGCTGAAACTGGCTCCCTGACCCCTGAGGGGCCCCAGATTGTGACAGGGAGGTTCTTGGGAGATGCACCCCAGAATTGGCTCCCTCCTCTCTGGTTCCATGTGCATCACCCAAGAACCGCAGCTGCCAAGTCACTACAGCTCAGCAGCTCCTGCATTGAGCATCTTCCCTGTGGTGGTCATTGTGTGTCATAGTCGCTTAGGCTTTTATTTATATAGACTAGAAGCCTTGTGCATGAGATTCATACATGGGTGGGGTACTAGGCCTGGTCAAAGATCAGGGCCAATCAGGTTCCCTGCCTCTCCACCTCCCCACCACCCTCCCTTGCTGCCTGCATGCTGCCACCATGCAGTTCTCCATCTCCTCACCTCCCTGCCTTCCCCCCTCTTCCTTCCCTCACCATCTGCAAGCTGCCACTGTGTAGTTCCCTGCCTTATCTCCACCTTCTTTTCTCACCGCCCACATACAGCACTACCCACCCTAATTCCCACTCCCAGCCCAGGGCCAGGCCTGATTAGGCAATTGGGACCTGCCAGCGATGGAAAGGGAGTGGAGGTTGGCTGGCAGGCCCCATTGGTGATAGTAGCCTGTGGGCTGAGGCAGCTCTTGCATTGAACATCTGCCATCTGGTTGTCAGTGCATGTCATAGCAACAGGTTGTTCCAGTTATTCCATCATAATGGTCACTTAGGCTTTTATATATATAGATGACCTGCCCTGAAATAGAAATCATTTGTCATTAGGGCATTAGGGCTTGACTTCAATAGTGAAAGAGAAAATTGAAGGATATATTAGCATCATGGAAGGACCTTTAATGTCAGCTGAATGATTTTGTAGGCAAAGGAAATTCATGAAAGGGATTTAAGCACAGCAATGATAGAACCAAATATGTGATTTTGTTCTATTATTCTCATAGTAGACAGAGGAAATATTGAAGTGAGTGTGGACAGAAACAGGGAAACAAATTGCAAATCTAACTGAAAGATTGCAAGAAAGAGATGATGAAAGACTTAGCTGGGCCAACAATTCAGAGTTAAAAGAAAAGGAATTGCATGGGGAAAAAGTTATGGGTAGAATTTTCAGAATGGGATGAAATTGGTGATGAGCAGGAAGGATCCCAGAAGACTCTGAGGTTTCTGGATTTTGGGTGAGATGGGATGTGACTTACAGAGATGCAGAATATGGGAGTGGAAACAACTATGTAACTAAGACAGTGGTCTTGCATTTAGATCAGTTGAATTTGAGGTGATGATGAAAAATCTAGATGGGGTTTTGTAGCAAACAATTAGTCATTTCAGCCTCTAGCTTAGGAAAAAGAGTGCAATATATCTCTGAATTTGGAGCTATATAGATTATAAGTAATATTCTCAATGTGGAATCTGTGATGTGACATCAGACAGGTTACATTTGGAGTGTTGATGGGCAATGGTATTTAAGGGGCAGATGCATAAAGAAAAATTAAATAAAGAGAAGAATGACTAGAGGTAGGGAAAGAACCAGGAAAAATGTATCATGGAAATCCAGGGGTTGAGGGTAAATTCACAAGAATCGAAGGCTTCTCAAAAATGACCACAGCCCAGTTTGCATATCTCTAAACTAATGTAATTCAGAGGGCAGCATAGGAAACAGATGAAGAGAGTGAGCTGGTCTATTCACTGTCCTAAAAGCATATATCTAGAATTTATTATGTGCCTTATATACTACTTAGGCATCAGAGATATTGGAGTAAATAAAGCATTGTTTTCATTTTATGAAGTTTTACCATTCCTGCCATTCTCTCTAATCAAATCTCATTCAGTCCTTTAAGACCCAGATTTCTCACCTTCACCATAAACACTCCCCTAAGCATGCTGGCTTTAGTAAAAGCTAATTTTTCTAGAAATTACCTGCAATATTTGGCTGACATTTATATTATTTAGCATGTTAATTATCATTGTATTTGCTCATATCATCTCAAATTAACAACTGCAAATTATTTGAGGAGAAGGGGCTTATAGTCTAGATTTTTCCTTCACAATTACTGCCTTTACTTTTATGTATTAAGTGCTTAGAAATACTTCTGAATGGTCTCCCCCATTCTCCATCCCCCTTTATACTTATGATCTTCTTAGACAAAGGGCAAAGTCTGTGCTATCACAATGAGCTAGATAGACCTGATCCCTCCTTTCACATTAAAAATATTTGATATTTTATATTAAAAATATTTGAGAAGGTAATATATGTTAAATGACACTATGACAAGGCAAAGTGATAGAGAAAAACCAGGAAATGAAAGAAGACAGTGTGAACAAGAGTGGTTATCAATAATTTTCTGAGGAGATGACTTTTAGATGAGCTTCAGGACGAAGAACTAGCCATGAGAAAAGCAGAAGTGAAAGCAAGGACAGTGGGTCTGAAATGGTTTTAAGTTCCAGGAACAAAAAGACATTATTTACTCAGAATATAATGAAAAAAAAAGGTAATAGGAGATAAGGTATTGTTTCTGCACTTAAAGCTGGCTGCAATCCTTTAGTATTTCAGATAATCAACTTTCAGGGTTAACAGAGGAAAAAAAATGCTATTTTATATCTAGATAATTCCCCAAGAGAGGAATAAAAAGAACTATTATTGTTCCAACCCCTTGCATTGCTATTGTTGTGATTCATAACAATAAGAAATCAACTGGGTTTTAATGTGTACTTTGTACATAATGGGTGTTACTCTTATTGTTTGTCAGTTTTATTCTTGTTTACATAGATAATCATGGGGACACGATAGTTGCAAAAGCAGCCACAATAGAAATAATAACAACAAAAAGGACACATCTATAAGTTTCAACATTCTTGCATGAGGATTGTCTGTAGACTCCTTCCTGTCTACATAGTAATATATTTTCTTAAGCAGAAAGAGATTACAAAATACCCAGATTACTTCACTACAGAAGTAATTCACGATGAGTTATTACTTTCAGAAGCTAACAAAAGTTAGAAGCAATTTTTCTAGGAAAAAACAATGCAAATAGTCATATTTACACAAAATATGAATAAAAATTTAAAGGCTATTTAACAACCAGCCACATAGCTCAGAATATTTAACCAAGAGCTGTCTATTGTACTAGAGGCCCAATCCATGAAATTTGTGCATTAGAGGGGTGGGGTGGGAAGGTCTCTCAGCACAGCTTGTACCCTCTTGCAGTCCTGGAACCCTTGAGTGATGGATATCCTCAACAGGGGACATCCTTCTCACAGTTGGGGGCTCTCGTAGTCTGGGACCCCTTGCTCCTGACTGACTGCCTGCAGCAGAGGTGGGAGAGGCTCCCTCCACCACTGCTGCACTGTGCTTGCCAGCCATGAGCCTGGCTTCTGGCTGTGCATCACTACCCCTGTGGGAGTGCACTGACCACCAGGGGGCAGTTCCTCACCATAGTGGTCAGTGCATGTCACAGGGACTGGCCATTCCACTTGTCATTCCGCAGGTTGATTGATTTGCATATTAGGATTTTATTATATTGAATATCAGAATCACCTGAAATCTTGTTAGAAAGCATATCCGTGGCCTTGTCCCATGAAAGCACAAGGTGAAATGGAGGAACTTGCATTTTGTGTTCTCCAGGGAATTCTAAAGCAGCTAAATAATAGGTCAGTTTTCCAAACTTTGCTTAAGGGTCTATGAAGGAGAGAATTGGAGAGCAGAGGCTCAGAGAGAAGTGGAAATTGAAAGTACTTAGAAATTCAAAAGGAATTGGATCCTGGAGAGCTGGAATTGAGGAGATTAATAAATGGGGAAGAATGAACAGGGTGAAGTCAAAGTAAAAATCAGAGCTATGTAGACTGGAGTAAGATGCATGAGAAGTTTGGCATAGGGGCTTGAAAACAGATTGAGAACTTTGGGAGGATTCTGAGGTGTGTGATCTGCCACCAGGGAAATCCCTCGCTATCAAAACTATTTATATACAGTAGGCTGTCTATGAGGACAGATGAGCTGTTATCAATAACCCTTCTGAGTTACTCCAATGAGAAAATAAAGGCAGGAATCATCATTACTGTAACTGCTGAGTACACCATTACCCATTACCTTTACCAAAGAATTAGTGTCTGTGCTGGGCTGGTCCTGTATTCCCTTAACTTAATAGATAAGCAAACTGAAACACATAAATCACCCAATGAAAAAACCACTTGTTCAAGACCAGAACCTGACTTCCTTACTTGGTCCTGAGATTTAAATATATATATATTTATGGAATCAGTTGATAGGAATGTGCTCACCCAAAAGTGCTTAGGAAAATTTCATTCAGGTGCAAATGGGACTTAAGGCGGGGCAACACTTTTCAATTAAATTCATACATTGGCATGCACAAAAATTTTGATTCCCATTCATTTTAATGCAATGTGGTCATTTGCCAACAGCGAACTGGACAAAAGTAAGATTTGTCTCAGTCTTTCCTTTCTATGGAGCGGAGGATGAATGACACTGCATTCTCAATGATTTCTCTGCCCAAGAGGTGTAGGAATGTTGGCATGTCCTCTGGTTTTTTGCCTGAGGCATCTGGCTTGTCATCTGGCTTGTCATCTGACTTGTCATCTGACTTGTCATCTCGTTTGTCATCTGAAAAAGACAACAGAATCTCAGAGGTGATTGTCAGCAATAAGAACAGAATGTCTCTCTTCTTTGTAGAAAGCATTTAGCGCCCATCGTACCCCCACTAAATGACTTAAGAGTATCTTATAGTTGAATTTACTCAACACATTTTGCCCAGTGAAATACATGCTTTATATCACTTATTCCTAAAAACAATCAAGCAGACCAATTGATCCTTTGGTTCCCTTCTTGGAAGAGAAGACTGAAGTTCATGGAGGTTAAGTAACTTGGTCCAAGTGAAGCTACTACCCCGTTTCCCCAAAAATAAGACAGTGTCTTATATTATTTTTTTCTCCCAAAGTTGCGCTAGGTCTTATTTTCAGGAGATGTCTTATTTTTCCATGAGCTAGGTCTTATTTTCGGAGGATGTCTTATTTTCGGGGAAACATGGGTATATGATTGAAATACAAAATGCCTGGTTTCACTTCAATTGCATGGTCTCTCTCCATGTAATCCCTGGGCCCATGGTAATGATAATAATGAAGATGAAATACTAATGAGTAGCATTTGTTGACCATATACCTATGATAGGAAATCCACATCCATTGTCTCATTTTATTCTCACGGCAAACCTATGAGGCAGGCAAAATCATTATGCCGATTAAAGGTAAAGAAATGGAATGAGAGGCAGGTTTAGAAGCTGGTTCACAGCCACAGTGTTAGAAAGTGGCAGAGTCAGAATGCGGTCTCATGTCTGTCTGGTATTCACATCTGGATCCTTAATCACTCAGTGATGAGCTGCATGGTCTTTGACAGAAAAGTTGTGATCTAACCTCAAGATAAGATTGAAGGTAGTATAATAATGATGACAAGGAGAAATTCTATCTCTTGTACCTTATCTGTCCGATAGTTCTACAAATAATGGTTTTACAAAAGCTGTGTAAATTTACCCTTGATCAATCTTATGGGGTATGTACATTTTTGCTCTTTAGACCAAGAAACTGAAAAGATTGGATGACTTACAGAAGACTCACAAATAGCAAGAGAAGATGAAACGAATGTCCTTTAGAGTGAGGCCAAGGATCTAGAGCAGTGGTTCTCAACCTTCCTAATGCTGCGACCCTTTAATACAGCTCCTCGTGTTGTGGTGATCCCCAACCATAAAATTATTTTTGTGGTACTTCATAACTGTAATTTTGCTACTGATAATGAATCATAATGTAAATATCGGTGTTTTTCCATGGTCTTAAGCTCTACAGCGCTTACACATTTCTCTCAGTGCTTGTCGCAACCCACAGGTTGAGAACAGCTAGCAGGGTCGCAGATATTTACATTAAGATTCATCGGAAAACACAGAAATTTACATTACGATTCATAACAGTACCAAATTACAGTTATGAAGTAGCAACAAAAATAATTTTATGGTTGGGGGGGTCACCACAACATGAAGAGCTGTATTAAAGGGTGGCGGCATTAGTAAGGTTGAGAACCACTGATCTAGAGAGTGAGATTGGAGGTTGGTGACGTGCAAGTTCCCTTGGGGTCAGGGGATTGGCTCTATTTAGTGGTCTAACTGACCAGGAGATTTGATGGAATGAAAGAGGGGCACTTAGCAGCATATATGGCCTCCTCCCTGAACCCTGGTGACAGAATGGAGTAGGATCTTTATCTTTTTGTTTTATTATAGCCTCAGGAGTATTGCTGGTAGATCTGATAAATCAAAACACAGGATATACAGTTAAAGTTGAATTTCAGATAAACAATAGTTTTCAGCATAAGAATGACCCAGGAAATATTTAGGACATACTTCAACAAAACAATTGTTCATTGTTCATCCAATATTCAAACTTAACTGGGTGTCCTGTATTTTATCTGCAACCCCGCCACAAGTTTTGACTTGAGAAGTATCAAACCTGGGGACTCTGAATGAAGGAGTTGTAACTAGCTTTTTGTGTGGAGGTTGTCAGATTATGTTAGGAGCCTTGCATCTATATTGTATCCTAAAATATAGTAGAAGCTCTAATTAAAAGATGTGGCTTTCAGTTCTACAAACATTTGTTGCTTACCATGCCATAACAAAAGATTGGAGAGGAGCACAAATCTGGGACATATAACCAAAATCAGTATCCTAATCACCAAGTATTCATTCTTTCTTTCATTCATTCATTCATTCATTCATTCATTCAATTGTTGGGGTGTTTTTCTGTTGTTGTTCAACAAGGATATTTGAGTCTACTGTTATATGCATAGCATAGGCTAAGAGTTAAGGTAAAAGTGGACATTTATGGGCAGCATTCTCACATAAGGTGCAAGGCAACCACATTGACCAGAAAAGCTTTGTTTTTATCATGGGAAGGGAAGGAAAGAGGCTATATATTTGTTATGCTGTGCCTGTTGTGCAGGGGCAGGGATAGTATTTTCATAGCATGCCTTAATCCTTATTCAGGGCAATGATTATAATATAGTCTTACAAGAGAGAAAACAAGATGCTCAGAGAAATTAGATGACTCACCTAAAATCACACATCTTGAAAGTGGCTGATCAGGTTTTGACCTAATTTATGTTTAACTCCACAAACCTTGTTACTTATATGATATAATGAGCCTTCAAGCAATTATTCCCTAAAGACATTTACCAGGTGCAAAATAGAGGTTCCTTGCATGAAAATTGAATTCTTTATTTTTCTGTGTTCCTACCTGCCTACTGGCATAACCAGATTTTTTTTTAATGTGACACCAAGTGGTAGCTTTTCAATATGCAAGGAGCTCTGGGTTGGAGTGTGTGAAGAGTAGATCCTTGGCTCCAGTCCTTGAACCACGTACATACTGAGTGGTATTAGGGACCAGTGGATCATATGTTTTAGAATCCTACATACCCAAGTTTAATTCATGTGTTAAAAAATTAGCCATGTAACCTTACACACAAAATTTAACCATACTCTCAGTTTCTTCATTGCGTTGTTATAAAGATTAAAAGATAATGCATATGCCTTTCATATATATCATATATATGTATATGTATGTGTGTATGTATGTACATATATTATGATCTATGTATACCACTTACAGTACCAGGCCTAAGGTAAGCTCACAGTAAGTTATTGTTATATTATTATTATTATTATTATTATTAACAACAAAGTGATTCATAGTAGCTTTCTCCTCTAGTGCTTTTGGAGATAATGCAAAATAGAAAATGTTGTTAAAATATTAAGAAATTTGAAAATGTTGGAAAACAAAAGAAAAATACATACCAATAATAAAATTAAGAAATGTGATATACTAGAAACAAATTATCAAAGCCAATAGTTGAATATTTTCTCTTTTGAAATATATGATAGCTCTTATTTACATTAACTCCTTGTTGAGTTTCTTAGTCAATGAAATACAAAAGTTCTGAAAAAATACTGTAATATTGATATATGTCCAGTTTTTATAATTTACAAGTGATTATAAAAGCTTGCTCATTTGATCTGGTGAAGTTTATGGTTATCCCATTTTACAAATGAAGAAACGGAAGTTCAAAGCAGTGAACTGATTTAACCAATTTCAGAGTTCATAAGAGAGAGAGATGGGACTGGCTTTTAGGACATCAATCTCACCTTTTCCTTTACTAGGGGGGGTGGGATTACTTTAGGAGGGGATGGACACAGTAGTCTCTGAGACTGTCTCTATAGTAATTCTGTCCGAGTGTCTGCCTGTGTGTTGTGCCAGTGGACAATGGGTGGCTGAAGGAGTGTGTTCTGTTGAGTTACATTTAGAAGAGTTTCAATGGCAATATTGCTCTCTCTCAGTGTTTTCTGACCATTTTGAATAGAGAGGAGTCACAAGTTCACTGTCTTCTACAGACAGAAAAAGAAATTAATTCATAAGTATTCTACATGCTGCTGTGTGGTTTTCTATATGCTTGAAACAAACATGGAAGAAATAGATGCTTAGTTATAACGGGAAGAACTGAGGGCTTTAGGTGTTAGTGCCAAGTGTGCCACTACTACCAGTGTCTATGATCAAGTAACTTTTTTTTTTTTTTTTGCAAATAGTTATTAACCTGCAAAAAGAGCAGTGGTAAAACTGTGCATGTTTACATAAAAAGATTATTATGATAATTAAATGAAATAATACATGATAACAATAACAGCTAATATTTACTGGTGCTTATTATGGACTCATACTTCTTAAATGTTTGTCTCTCATTTAATTTTCATGATAAATGTATGAGAAAGTTAACTATTGACATTTTATTTTACATGTGAGGCCCAGAGAAGTTAAATAAAATACCTGAAGTCACATTTCTGATTAGTTGTGAAGTCAGACCTAGGAGTCTTATTTCAGAGTTGATATGCCTCACCTTTGAGCATTATTAGTTATATTCATCAAAATTTATAACAATAGCCCTACCTGGTTTGGCTCAGTGGATGGAGCTTCAGCCTGAGGACTGCAGGGTCCCAGGTTCGATTCTGGCTAGGGAGACATGACTGGGTTGCAGGCCCTATCCCCAGGAGGGGGCGTGCAGGAGGCAGATAAATGGTGATTCTCTCTCATCATTGATGTTTCTACCTCTCTCCCTCTCTTTTCCTCTCTGAAATCGATAAATTTTTTTCTAAATTTATAACATAATAGTGTTGCTATATCACATAAGTATATGTAAAAAAGCAATCATTCCACACTTTCTACATTCACTGAGGACAGAGACTTTTTGCTAGAAGATTCTACTTGCTTTTTGCTAGAAGATCTGTCTCTGGTCTCCTAGTCCAGTGCTCAAAAGTCCCTCCCCCTCCCTGCCCTTTATGTTCTGGAACAGTGCCACCAACTTCCTCCAACCATGGCTAACCACTGCACGAGCTGTCACTGGAAGCACTTACCAGCATGGCAAGTCAGGATCAAGGCAAGCAGTCCCAGGAAAACTGTCATCCGGAGCACAGAGATGGCCATGGTTGCAGCTCTGGGTATTGGTGCAGATAAAGCGTTCCAGGGCACCTGTAGCCTTGCTCCACTTATAAGTCACTTGCAGGTGACATCACCTGCTGTGGAATTTAGGCTATTGCACAAAATGTCTCCACAGCATGCTCCGGGATCTAATGAGCCCTGCCCAACCTTTCAAACCTAAAGTTTTTCTCATGGTCGAAGAAAAGCCCTTTTTGGTTTTCCTAGTGTGCATTTATCAATGGCATTGTAGTAACTCTTTCAGAGGTAGTTCCTATGCCAGCATTAACAATTAGATGGGTATCAGGCAGAATTATTATTATTCAGTGCCAAGAAGTAAGTATTCAATCAGATTGGTGAGGTGTTCTACTTTCATCCCTGCACACTCTACTTTCTTCCCCATGCTCTGAGCTAATTACTTGTTCCCACATGGGCATGCCCATTCATACCCCAGTGCCTCTGTTCATGCTTTTTATTTTTTCCCCATCATTGATCCCCCCCACCCTGCCTTGGAATATTCCTGCTATTCATCAGACTCCAGTTCAAATGCCACACTTCTCTATGAACCTTTATGATGACCCTTCCACCATACCCCAGAGAGTTAGTTGCTCTATCATCTGTCATATAAAACACTCGCTTGGACTACTTTTGGAAAACTAAGTACTTTAATAGCTCTCTTCTCTTTCAGCCTATGGATCTCTTAAGGAACAGAATGTTTTATTCAGTTCTGAATCCTGAAGGAACCTATTATTATGTTTGGCATTGGCCTTAGCTTTGAATTCCTTGGGAAACTTGCATAGTTTTTCCAAAAAGAACTAGGTGTCTCCCTGAAACTGGTTTGGCTCAGTGGATAGAGTGTCAGCCTGCAGACTGAAAGGTCCCAGGTTCGATTCCGATCAAGAGCATGCACCTGGGTTGCGGGCACATCCCCAGTGGGAGGTGTGCAAGATGCAGCTGATCGATGTTTCTCTCTCATCGATTTTTCTAACTCTCTATCCTTCTCCTTTCCTCTCTGTAAAAAATCAATAAAATATATTTAAAACAAACAAACAAACAACAACTAGGTGTCCCTCTCCTGTGCCTAATATACAGATTATATGTCTCCACCAGTAGGCTGTAGGCTCCTCGAGGGCTAGATTGTCTTTTTCAGAGTTGAATGCACATTACTCTTGGCATATAACAAACAAATAATAATAATAAAATTACTTCACACAACAAAAAGAAATATTGTGTTTGAGGCGCTTATGTGTATTTCAGATATAAAAATCCTTCCTTCTGGATATAAACACTCAAGGGGATACAATTGGTTCAGGTCTAGATGCTGGTTATCCTGAGGGATGTTGTAAGTTCAGTTAATTAAGATGAGGACTTGGGGATTCCTAAACTTGTAGCTTGACCAAAACTTTTGTGACTGTGAGAGGGCCCCTTTAATAAATGCTGAAGTTACCTGAGGTCTGGGAAAAGGAGGCTTGTCTGGTGTCACAGAGCCAAGGTGAGGACATGGCCCTCTTACTCCCAGTTCCGGACTCTTTTCAAGGCACCAAGCTGCACTTGAAAGCTATGCTTGGATCCTTCCAGTCTCTCCATTTTATCTCAAGAAGACTCTGATCCGGTCACTCCTACAGAGTTGTGATCTGGAGATAGTGATCCATGATAGGAAGTATTCAGCAAGTTAGAGGGATGCCAGCAGAGTAGCTTAGAATTGAGCACTGCGCATGTCCAAGTAGCTAGTGCAGAAATAATATTCAAGTGTCCCCTGGCTTATGGCTTTGCTTACCTGGGAAAGGGTAGCAATACCTCTTACTTTGCACCAGCTTTGAGCCCTCAGGGTTTAACCCATCATGTGGGGCATAGTTTTTTAAATTCACTGTAAGAACACTGTACCTGCAAGCAAAAGCTCTGGCTGTTGCAACTTAGGAGAGAGGGCTGCTTCTCACAGATATCAGCTACAAGGGGCATGCAGAGTCCTGAATCAGGTGCTCTAGGTGGTCTGATGTCAAGAAAATAGCACCAATTCTGAGGGCAAGGGTGTCCTGTCAATACCATGATTCACTGGTGCCCTGACCAAATACCTGCAGGCCTGACACTCATTTTTCACTGTGGTATTCTCCTCTCGTCCCTCCATTTATTATTTTTAGCTTTAAATTTCAGCTAAAATGTCTCTTTTTTGGTGAAAATTTTGTGACTCATTAAGATCCCTCTATTATAATCTTTTATACACTTTGTATTCTTCCTTATTTGACACTTCAATGTCTCCCTTCCCAAGAGATGTCAAAATCCAGGGTGGAAGAACTCCATGTTGTTCATGAAGACAGCTCTTGTTTCTAGGATAGTACCTCACACACACAAAATACCCAACAAATACTACTGAATAGAAGAATTATTATCAGTTTTATTAGTTATTAAATGACTGATACCACTCTAAGTCTTGGTTTCCTCATCTGTAAAGTTGGGGCATATTATTATTTCCTGCCTACGTATCTGCACTATTTTAGGAACATATGACATAACAGATACATTTTAAAGAACCTTTAATGTGTGCCACATTAATAGAAGGTAAGAAGCTGTGGCTTATCCTCCATTAGCACAAGCAAATGAATTTGATTTAAAGTAGAGAAACTAGATTAAGAAAGATGTTTTACCCAAGCTAGGAAGAAGTAGTGATGACCTTCTTCCTGAATGCCATTCTAGTTTGGTAAGAAGATATGAGAATGAAATGAATATGGAATGCTTTAATTCCCATGGAAATTTCCATGTGTAATTGAAAATCACCAGAGTTCTTTCTTAGGTTAGTAAAGGATTACAGTCTGTGTTGGAAATTGCATAGAGATATTTTGAAGTGTGAGTTATGGTTAAAAGCATGGGTGTTGAGATCAGACAGAACTGTGACAAACTCGTAGATAGAGATCAGATGGGGGACTGGATGGAGGGGTGAGGGGTTGAGTAAAAAAGAAAAAATATAGAAAAAAACTCGTGGATATGGAAAACATTGTCGTGATTGTCGGTGTTAGGGGAGGTAAGGGGTGGGGGTGGAGGTATATGGGGAGTAAATGGTGATGGGTGGAGATTTGACTTTGTGTAGTGAACACACAATATATAGAATGTGTGTTATAGCTGAAACCGGTTTGGCTCAGTGGTAGAGCGTCTGTCCGCAGACTAAAGGGTCCCAGGTTCTATTCCGGTCAAGGGCATGTGCATTGGTTGCAGGCACATCCCCAGTAGGGGGTGTGCAGAAGGCGGCTGGTTGGTGTTTCTCTCTCATCGACGTTTCTGGCTCTCTATCTCTCTCCCTTCCTCTCTGTAAAAAATCAATAAAATATATATTTTTTAAAAGAATGTGTTATAGAATTGTGTACCTGAAACTTGTATATTTTTGTTAATCAGCGTCACCCAGTAAATTCAACTAGAAAAAAACAACTGGGTTTGTATTTCAGATTTGCCACTTTCAAATTGTGTGACCCTGTGAAATATTTTTCTAATTTCCTTATGCATTGAGTCTAATGTTCACAAAACAGGAATAAGGGCATCTCTCAGAGTTATGAGGATTAGTTTTGAAAATACATGCCTTCATGTAATTCTTGGTAAAAAGAGAGTTGGAGATAGGGCTGCAGAATAAAATACAAAATGCCCAATTAAATTTGAATTTCAGATAAAGAGTAATTTTTCACTATTACCCAAATATTTCTCTTTATTTGCTGAATTGAGCAACTCCACCTAGAGAGGCCCTCTGGAGTGTTTTCTTGCATTAGACCTCAGATAAGGAGTGAAGAACAGGGAGGTCAAGTGAATGATTGGAAGACAGTGTGTGAAAAGTTGAAATTATATATGGAATGTGGAAGTTATTGAAGGGCCCAAGCTTATCTGTGATACTACATCTGGGGCATGTTCTCCCCCCTGTATTTCTCATGAGAAAATCATTAGCTCCTCTCTTGATCTTTGTTTACTCTAGCTCAAGTTTCATGCCAGCCTTGGAAGTGGTGCATGTGGCTTCAAGAAGGCCCCCTTTCCATGGTGCCATGTGCTTAAGGAGTGGCCACAGTCTTTGTCACCCTGATCACCTTTCTACATATAGCTAATAACTTAACCAATCCTCATGTCACTAAACAATTTATTAATTTCTTATTCAGTGGACATTTACTGAGTTTGTACTATTTGTCAGGTGCTCTGTGAGGCACTGGGGGCAATATACAAATGATGTGTTATAGAATTATATACCTGAAGCCTATATAATTGTATTAACCAACTAGAAGCCTGGTACACAAAATTCATGCACTGAGGGAGAGGGGGGGATCCCCTCAGCCTGCCCTGCACCCTCTTACAGTCCAGGAATCCTTGGAGGATGTCCAACTGACAACTTAGGTCTGCTGGGAGCGGGCCTAAGCCGGCAGGCTGACATCCTTAGCATAGCTGCAGAGGCCAGAGAGGCTCTCACCAGTTGTGAGCCTGCATAGAACACCTGTCCCCTGGTGGTCAGTGTGTGTCATAGAACAGGTTGTTTCTCATTTTGGTCTATTTGCATATTAGCCTTTTATTATAGAGGATGTCACCCCAATAAAGTGAAGTAAAATAATAATAAATTAAATTAAATACAAAATAGCAGTTCCTGACCTTACCTCTATTGCGGATGCAAACATGTAACCAAGTAATTTCAATTAAATATGAGAACTGATGGTGGAGTTACTGAACAGATTCCTTTGGGAGGCTATTAGGGAATGGTTCACATTGCAGGGGGCGGGGTGGGGGGAAATCATAGACATATCATTTGTTTGGAACATTGAAAATTGGGTTAGCAGGTGTTCCCCATGTGAGCAAGGTGTGGAGAACACACTTGAGGTAGGAGGAATGACATCTGCAGGGCACAGGTTTGGAAGATCACAGCATATTTCTAGGAATGAACCCTCACATTCTCGGGTATTGATATTAGAAGTAAAAATTGTGGCGCGCTAACTGAATCTTGCAAGTTGTTTTAATTAATGAATGTGCTAGGAAGAGATAATGAAGAGATCTACCTGAGCCAGGGGGTAATCAAAACAAAATAAAGCAATTATCTTGCATGCTATTAGGCATCCTGCTTTCTGTCTCTCTTGATTAAATAG